GATGTAGCCCAGCGGTTAATCCAGTCCTCGCGCCAGCTCGTTAGACGCGAGCTATGTGCATGAACTGTGTTCCGATCGATATGATCCCTACACAGTGTTCATTGCTCCCTCCTCCCTGAGCGGGGAAAATCCGTTGAAGTTTACTTCACTTCGGAACATGGGCTGGAATTGGGAACCGCTGATGTAGCCTATTGTAATGTTGTCTCTGGTATTTAGGTCTTTGAGCGTAAATGCGTTCAGGGGGCGTGGCTTTGGACGGCGATTGCAGGGAGGGTGGGACGTTCGCTTTCAGTGCTATCAGGCTAAAGTTAGTATTTTTCAAGATCTCCTACTGCACCTTTAACATCTCAAAAACTTCAGTTTGACACCATTGACATCTCAGATCACATGCTGTCACTATAATGATCTTTAACCTTTTCTCAAACTGTCCTAAAACCAGCTCCAAGCTCATAACAACTAAAGTAAAAGTGGAATTAAAAAATGAATTAAAAAAAAAGTTGTTTATTCCCATACAAGATTTTTGAGTGTTTGAAAGAAGTCTCTTCTGCTCACCTAGGCTACAATTATTTCACATTTTAGTGTTTTACTGTACAAAAATACAATAAAAACTCTAAAAAATGTGAAATATTATTACAATTTAAAATAGCTTTTTTCTATGTGAATATATAATAAAATGTAATTTATGCCTGGGATGCAAAGCTGAATTTTCAGCATCATTACTCTAGTCTTAAAAATAAATAAATAATTTATTAAAATAATACATTTTTTAATCCTAAAACTTTGTTTATATCCATTCTTTTGGGCCCCACTTTGTTTACGAGTAAAACAGGATATTCAGTGAGGGGGAAAAAAAGCAGGATTTTATCCACTTGGTATTGATTGGATCATAAAAAGTGGGAAAAGATCAGCGAATCAGTGCTTTTTGATTTGATGTTATCTTTAAAATCGTTTGAGAGATGCATTATGTAGTTCTGTGGAAGTTTCTCAATATACCTCCAATAATACATTTTTTAATCCTAAAACTTTGTTTATATCCATTCTTTTGGGCCCCACTTTGTTTACGAGTAAAACAGGATATTCAGTGAGGGGGAAAAAAAGCAGGATTTTATCCACTTGGTATTGATTGGATCATAAAAAGTGGGAGAAGATCAGCGAATCAGTGCTTTTTGATTTGATGTTATCTTTAAAATCGTTTGAGAGATGCATTATGCAGTTCTGTGGAAGTTTCTCAATATACCTCCACCATCACAACACAAACAATTAATCTGACATGAACGTCTGCAATCATTCTACAAAGTCAATGCATTCCCAACTTTTACTATACATCCTTAACTTTACTGTT